TGAGGTTACAGGAGGTCTGAAGTTGTTGGTAGAAGTCTGTGGTTACAGGAGATAGAGGTCGGTAGCAGAGTTTTGGTTAAAGGCTTCAGGGACTTCAGAGAGAGACTCAGAGGCTTTCGGGTAAAGGTCGAGAGGTTGGTGAAGGCTTCTGGTAAAGGTCGAGAGGTTGGTGAAGGCTTCAGGTGAAGGCTCAGAGAGGAGAGGAGAGGAGTTTAGCTCTAGAAGAGAAGAGGAGTGAGGCCCTGCTTTGAATGAAGGAAGGGCTTCCTTCTTATAGGAGTCGAAAGGAATCCTTTTGGCTTTACAGCTGGCCAAAATTATTAGAAGAGGACAAAGGAGGTAGATGCCATTTGTCGGCAGAGGAAAACAGCTGGCAACCATTCAGAATAGGACAAAAGAGGAAAAGAGAGGTGATATATGTGGGCAAAAAAGAGAGAATCGTCGGTGCATGTGGACAAAGGAGAGGGGCCCAGATGTCGGCAGATACGACAAGAGGAGGTGTCGGTGGAATATGACAAAAGTGCTAGTGGACAAAACATATGAGCATAGGGGGATGCTCTTTGCAAAAATAAAAAGTAAAATATCTAGGCTCTTTTGGCCTTATTACAATGAGTGTTTGTCTTTGGTGGTAGGACCCTTATTTGTCCTATATACTATCTTTCTTTTGAACGGTGATGATGGTTATTCATGGTCTCTGGCAGAACTCATCCGGATCGTCTTCTTCTGGATCTGTTTCGTCTGGATCTGTTTCTTCTGGATCCTTTTGATTGAGCTGGAGATACCTATTGGTGTGTAGTGGAGAGGACTGAACTGTTTCTTCAGAAGATGTAGGTTTTCTTCCTGCTTCGGCAAATATCTCTTTCATTTGTTTTTCAAGTTCGTCCTTGGAAGCATGAGGGTTGGTTTGAAGCATATTTCTCAAATAGGTAGGAAAGTCGAATGAAGTGTTTGGAGTATTTGGGTTTTCCTGGTATATAGGCGCTTTGGGAGGTATTCTATTTGGAGTGGCTTTGGCGAGATCCATTTGGAAGATATCCCACCATTTGACAGAGATGGTCTTTCCCAAACGAAGGATGTAGGTATAATCATTGGAAGTATTGGGTGAGATGGTATAATCCCATTTCATAATCCAAGGGATTTGGTATAAAGCCATGAAGTAAAGGTGAGTGTCAACTGAAAGAGGAGTTCCTAGATTAGTAATAAATTATAAACCATTAAATAAAGTGTTACAATGGATCGGATATCCAATTCCTAATAAAAAAGATTTATTAGACAGAGTTGCTCAAGCTTGTATATTTTCAAAATTCGATATGAAATCCAGATACTGGCAAATCCAGATCCAAGAACAAGACAATATTACCAAAAATAAATCAAAATCACCTATTATCAAAAATCCAGATGAATATAACTTCTCTGCCATTATCAAAAGAGTAAGTGATCAACACACATATATATGTGTGTGTGTGTGTGTGTGTGGAAAATAATACAGTGAGACCAATTTATCTTTGGTATAGGGTGGTCACAATTAATCTTGACCATTAGATGTGAAATTGAATGGATTTATTCTGTTGATCAAGCGTATACCTCAAAATAAATTCTTTTGAACTTTGTGACGCACCCGAGCTCTTAGATTTCACATCGGATGATTGTAAATAATTGTGACAACTTTGTATCAAAAGTCTCATTTGTACACTCCCTATATATATATATATAAAGCATGAAAAATCCAACCAATCCATATGACCTAGTTCTCTGATAGGGTAGTTGATCCTCTTACAAGAACAGAGAGTCCAACACATATTCAAAACCGGTTCCCAATACTGCGTTCGGATTTCGAAACAGGTTCGTCCTATGTCGATTGCCAATCTAAATCAACAATTCCATATAGGACGATTGTCAATCTAAATCAACAATTCCATATTTCGATGGGTGGGTTTTAAAACATTGCTTTTTATTATTTTCCATATGGATTTGCACCATCTTTCAGCTTCAAATTTAGGGTTTGTTTAGATACCATCTTAGAATTTATGGTATAACGTCTCGTACAAGGTTTTTTAGAAAAACCCGAAGAGCATTGGGAGGACAAAGAGAGGAGGCATAATTACCCTTTCATTTTTTATTTTAAGTGTTAAGTCATTAGATTTAGGGAAAACTACAAAAACCTTCCAAATATACTATCTATGCAACTTATCCTGTAGCTAACATTTTCTCTCATTTTTTTTCCCATAACTACCTTTTCTCTCAAAAACCCCTCAATCCAAAAAAAAGAAAAAAAATACTAAACTACCCTCTCTCTCTCATCATGGCTTTTACCCACGACTCTCTCTTCGTGCACTCCAACAATCCATTTAAACTCTCCGGCAATGAGGACAAGCGCTCCGAAAATACAAGGACTCGCTCCGACAGTATACCTTCTGGAGCCAAAGTGCTCCTGCAGTTGGATAGGTCGCTCAGGCAATGAGGACACACGCTCTAGCAATGCAAGGACTCGCTCCGGCAATACACTTTTTGGAGCCACAACGCTCCGGCGGTTGAATAGGTCGATCCGACAATGAAGACAAGCGCTCCAGCAGTACAGCTTTTGGAGCCACATCGCTCTGGCGGTTGAATTGGTCGCTCTGGCAATACGCTATTTGGGACCGCCAATTGACTTTTCTTTTGTACATGAAGGGTATTTTTGTCTAAATAAGAACAATTTTTACCTTGGGAGTTTTTGCGATGAAAGGTGGTTGTGGGGAAAAAAGTGAGATAAAAAATTAGCTGGGAGTTAAGTTGCATAGATAGTACACTTGGGGGGGTTTTGTAATTTTCCCTTAGATTTAGATATAAGCAGAAAAACATTTTTGAGCATAAAATTTTATGGTATAACTAACATCTATAAGTTTGTTCTTTTGAACCGGAAGAACATTAGGGAGAGATCGGCTCTAATTTACAAAATTTATAAAAAATTTCGTCTTTTTGTTTTATCTTTACCCAATTTATTCTTTTCTAAAATAAATAATATGTTATTCATACCATCTATCGACAACCGAATTTTGTTAAATTTGTTATCAAAACAAATAATAGCATTAAAAATAGGCTCAGAGATTTGTAAATTTAATCATTCTTTTACGTACATCTTCTTTTACTACAATATGACCTAAATTAGGGTGGGAAATAAATGCATTCTAAATTTCGCTAGGAAATTGCTTTTGAACTTCACCTGGCACCGATTTATTAAATCCGGCGCATAAAGGTGTCTGTAATGAAGCGGTGATCATGATTTTCAGTCTCTCAACTGTACACAGTTGACACCGATGTAGCTCCATGTTTGCACTTATCAGAGGTTTGGTAGCCTCTCTTGATAACCTACCCATGCAAACTGGCATTCCAGTGAGTTTATATGCGTTGCACGTAGTAGATCGATTTAAATACATAAAAGGAAATGTTTTGGTGTTGATGTTTTCATATAAAAATATTATATTGATGTGTAATTTATAATAGATAATTATTCGAAATCATCATTAGTGTACACTGGCAGTTCTGATAGTTATGCAATAAGTATATTATTATGCAATTCATTGCAAAATAATATAAGCTTTCTTAATATTATACTGTGGGAATTCATATATATGTATATACATTGCACTGACATATCATCATAAAAATATTATATAATAACAACAAATAATAGTTTACTATAAAAAAAGCATTATAATTAAATCTATCTATAACTACATAATTCATTTTATAACTATAATTATATAATTAGAATGTTACTAAGATTTATAATTATTTTGATAATAATACTAAGATTTTAATTAATATGTAAGTATGTGCGCACACTCGTGTTTATGTCTCGTTATATAATTAAAATATACAAATAATATTTCATAAAATCTAATATCTTCATTTAAGAAAAAGCACATTTAATAAAAACCGCCTAGTGTCAGTTAGAATATATTATTTTTCACTTTGATATATTTTTAACTCCATACATGCGATTCTTCTTTCCTAAAACTCCTTTAATCATTGGTCATATTCTGTGTGGTTTATTAGGAAGGTGTACTTTCAAAGCCTCCTGGAAGTTGCAATTTGCTGTAAAAGACTCTCATGATCACACATGAAAATTTGTTTCTTATAATATTTGAAGTTAAAAAAAATGGTGCTCATCCAGTAGATCTACAAACACTTAAAATTTTAAAAAATAGATGCATCAAAATGCACTATTTTAAGACCTTAATTCATTTATTATATATATATTCATCTCAGTGAAAATGATCAATAAAAAAGTTCTCCATTGGAAATCAAAATAACATTTTTTGATGAATTTTGAGGTGGGCCATACTTATACAATATAATATACAATATAAGGTTGAATTTATTCAAAAAAATAACACACAAAGGCTGAAACCTTGTTGAATTTATTAAAAAAAAATAACATACAAAGGCTGAGACCTTGTATAAACTCCCTTTACATATATACTCAGTGTTTGAAAACTAGGTAATTTATGATCCAAACAGCTGATTCATATGGGAATTAGTTGGGACGGACTGGTTTTGGGATGGTATGGGTCTACCCAATTCCCATCCTTTATTTTTTTATATTTATCTTTTTTATTAGCCTTTTTTTCTTATTTTTAATATATTTATCTTTTTTAAGTAAGCTTGTCTAATATTTTTTTGAGTCCCCTTACTCCCGCCCCAACCTTTTTATTTTTTATTTTTAATATTTTTAGATCACCAGTTCAAACCTATCCAAACCCAATCTGAATCGATCCTACATAGAATGATCCACCCCACCATTCGGGTTTTAAAAACAGCACACTGCTTGGTTGAAGAGACGCACCAGTACTCGAGGGTCCGGCTTGAATTTTACGCGAGGGAGCAGATACACAATAACATTCCGCGGGAGCAGCGTTTCTTTTCCAAACTCTATTGGCGCCGTGGTAAAAGCCTGAGACCCTATCCGTAGCCGGCAGTAAGCAAATCAAAGGCGTCGACTCTCCCGCCAAGTGACCCTCTCTCTCTATTCATCTCCCCCTTACCTCTCTCCATTTCCCTCTCTCTCTTCCCTCCTCCCCCTCTCCCTCTTATGATGCCTTTGCGCTAACCCTAAAATTGCAGGCTTCCCCATGGAGACTGATGAAACCAGTGAGGCCATTCCATTTCAGTTACAGGCTGATAAACCGATCGCATCAGAGGTTGGGTTTCCGAGACGCTTTTTCCCCTGCATATGTGCTGATTCAGTTGAACTCAACCTTTTTGATCATTCTGTTTTGTTGTTTTTTTGAAGATTAAAATTGCTGAATGGAACCCTGAGAAGGATCTCTTGGTGATGGTCACCGAGGACTTGAAGATTGTTCTTCATCGGTTCAATTGGCAGAGGCTCTGGACCGTTTGTCCTGGTCTCCCCCTCTCTCCTATATATCTTTTTCCTTTCTTTTATTTTGGTAGATTTGAAGATGGCTTCCTTGCCATCTCTGCATAATCATTTGGGGTTTCCTTCGCAATTGGTTTCCTCAAAAGTGTTAGCTGTGTGTTGTTTGACTCTTTCTCTCTCTCACTCTCTCTCTTCCAGTTTATTCCTTTTTGCTCCATCAAATTTGTATTTATTGCCAGGGATTATGTTTATTTGAGGAGTTCTAGATTGCTTACTTGACCATGCATTTTCTTAACTTTTGGGTTTTAAATTAAGGTGCAATGGGGCACCTCAGGCCACTCTAATTTGAACTTGATGACCTAACATAAGATTTTCCCCAGATTGAACTCTCTGAGCATGTTGATATGAATTTGTGGCTAACCAGACAAGATGTCGCATATTGATGCAGTCTTTATTGTTTTACATTGCGAATGATCTCTTAGACATTTGTGTTGTTTATGTTGCTTTTCCGCCAGATCAATCTCGGAGTAGAAGTATCCAAAGTTTAGCCAGAAAACAAATTATTTCAAATTACTTCTCACCCTATTGCCAGACAAGATTAGCACTATTTACCATTCACAGCTGAGATTTCAACTATGAACTGGTTTTACTGCTACTTCTAGTTATTTGCTTTATCCTATGTCATGCTTGTTTTGTCTTTTCTCATGTTTCTAGTCATAGTTGAACTGTTAGCCAATTTTCTTTACCAAAAGGAAATGAAAGAGTAATCATGCATGCACATGTGGTCCACAAAGTAGATGAACCTCATGCCCCCAAAAAAAGCAGATGAACCTTCATTTTTGTAAAACTAACTTTTATAGTACAATGTATGGTTTGCATATTGTTTTCTTAACATTGTAGGTGGATTTGGATGTTAGGAAAGAAAACTCCAGTTTATTCATAAAAATGTTTTGAAATTTGAATGCAAAAATCTCTCATCTGTGGTGTTAGGATACTTATTTTGATGTATGATGAAATTAAATGATGCATGATAAATTGCATGTGGAGATGATAAAGAAAATAGTATCAGTTGTTATAATGGAATGGAATTTGTTTCAAATTATTTATTTAAATTGCTTCTGAAAACTGAATGGACCATTTCATCTTTGCTATTTAGTTTCATAGAATTGGCCATAAGATAGTGTACAAATGGATTAATGGCTGTGGAATCATTTGAGGCAGATGGTCGTATAGAGATTTTTTTTTTAAAAAAGCCATTTGTTTTGTCTTGTTTGCACTAACTTCGTTGCTTTCAAATTTATACTTTCTTTACCAGTCAAAGGATACCAACAATTGAAGGTTGAACCTAATTGCCATTTCTCAATTGGGAAATCAATAACTTTGTGGTGTATTGATGGTTTTCTGTTTCTTGCTATCGTGGTTCATTTTGGTTGTCTATTTCTTTGATATTCTTTAGGGAGGGGCATTACATCTATCTGTTGGCGCCCTGACGGTAAAGTAATAGCTGTTGGACTTGAAGATGGAACAATTTCACTACATGATGTCGAAGTGAGTTATCTTTGAATGCTTTTTTATTTTGTTTTTCTGTGTTGCAATATTGTCTATGGTTTGTTCTTTGGTAAGTAAGTAACTTTTTATGGTTGGTCGTGACTGTTGCTATTGCTATTGATCGATATCTAAGCCACATATTTCTTTCTTTTGTTTGATTGATTGATAAGTTGAGGAGTTAGGTAACATATAGTTGCTTGGCATTGGCATTTGTACCAAATACTGCTGAATATGTTACTTGGTATTGGCATTTGTACCAAATACTGCTGGATTTGTCTCCTAATGATGAACTATTATCTGAAGTGTAGCCAAAGAAAAATCAGGAATTAAAGTGTTACTTGAAGGAAGTTGGTTCATGGATTTGAGAAATGAGTTAAAAAATGGAAATTTGGTACTGTTCAAATAGGGATGAGTGTTGATAATCAGTTAATATGGCCGTAGGTACTGTTCAAACATATTTTTTAATGCTTTCAGTGTTATTTTTTTTGTTGGTTTAGAAAGTACTTAGATGAAACCAAAGTATCATTTATTAGATTAAAAAAATGCAATATAACAGAACCAACACATACTTGCATTGCCAACTTCTTGGCTATATTGGGTCGCTATTTTCTTATTACCCACAGGATTGTTATAAAAAAACTAGCTGAAATCTTGAAACAGCAAAACATTTTCTCTCGCAAACATTTAAAAATGAAGACTTATATAATTGAAGTTTGAACAGTTGATATGTTATATTTTCTAAAGGGAAACTTTGGGCCAAGTATTTTTTCTTTAGTTAAAATAAGTGCGCTAACTTATGCAGTTATACAAATGAGGGTCTTGGGACTTCCTCTTTTCCTTTTTTTTTTTTAATATTTTGCAAACTATGAGCTCTGCTGAGATTTAGCAGAGGTCCTTTGGTTGCTAACGGTTTTCTTCCTTAAATTGGTGCTGTGTATAGCCTATACAAGATATGAGAAGCTCAGTAGGCATGCAGTTAGTGGTGCTTGAGGTTGTTGTAAAGCTTACACGTAATTCACATTTTCAATAAAAATGTTCACTGATACATATGTTAGGTACATAGGTTTACTCTCGGTTTAATAGATGAAGTAAAGGGGGTAATGGGATATGGTAAACTGCAATGATGTCTAGCTCGTCAGAGCGAAATAGAAATATTACCTTAAAAAAAAATTGTAATCTATTGTTTGCAGCAATGGTCAGATAAATGCTTCCATTACAAATTGTTCACATAAGTGTACCTCGTTTCTTTTTCCTGACATATAGTTAGCTTTGTACCTATGGGATTCTTTAGCAGATTACTTAGTCTGTACTATCGAATTAATTATTTGGGATTACTGTGAGGTGTGAGTCATGGATTTGTTTTTTTTGTCCATATTGGTATTTGCTTTCTTCTTGTTCATATTGGTATTGGCTTTTTGGATTGTGGCAGTATTCTGTATGCTGGATCAGAGTTCTTTATATCAGTGTTGTTCTTTTGTCAGCTCTACCCTTCACAAACTTGCTTTTCCTGAGAGACTAAGCCATGGTCATTTCTTGTATTTTGGTTCTATTTGTGTGCGTGAATGTTTGCATGCACGTGCGTGTGGCTGCATTACATATTATTTTACGTATGATTGATACATATGAGTTGATTATGCAACATTTTTGTTGATTTTTTGGAAATCACTTGGTTTACCTAACTTGAAATATACTTCATTCTATCTGTGGGAAGAAACTGCCTTTTCTTATGTATAGCAAGTTGATAGTTTTTTTCTTTTTTATAATGGCAATTTGATAAATAGTTATTTTGTGCACACTACAGAATGGAAAGATGTTACGGAGCACCAAATCACACAATGTTGCTGTAGTTTGTCTTAATTGGGAAGAGGAAGGACAATCACTTACGGTATGCATTGTGCACAAATCTGATTTTTGAATTATACTTATATTGCTTCTTATTTTTCATATCTTTATATGAAAATCAGCATAGCATGTGAAAATTGTCCATTCCTTATTAATTGCAGTTGTTTATTTGTATGCTTGTATATCGCACCTTGATCTTCTTGCTAGGTTGTGCCATTAACTGAGTATTTAAGTAAAAAAATGCAGTTTTGTTTGCAAATGTAATTACAGCTCATATACACGCTCAGGTATGGCAAGCACCAACACTAGTCAAAGTACAAAATACCCATGGGATGCACATTAATACTCCAACATATACAATATGAAAATCAGCATAGCATGTGAAAATTGTCCATTCTTTATCCTATTCTGTTGCTTCTTTGTCTGCCTGTATAGACCAACATGATCTTTCTTGCTAGGTTTTGCCAAATGAATTGAGCATTTAAGCAAAAAAAACACAGTTATGTTTGTAAATATGATTTTAGTTCATACACAAGTTCAGTAATGGCAAACACCTAACTGCTTTAATATGCCAAAGTACAAACAACCCGTGGGATGTTTTAGTGTTTCAAAAAGCACTTGGTGGCACCTAGGCGGTCGGGGCGATCCAGGCTGCCCAGTAGAAAATTTTTGTTTTTTGGGTTTTCTCTCTCTAAAATAGCCTCTAATGGGTTTTAGGTTTCAAATGAACCTAAAACCCACAATTTTTCCCCTTTAGTATTAAAAAAATAACCCCAAAATACCCTCAAGGAGCCACATTTCTGCCTTTGGGTGGGGCACAGGCCCTTGGCAGACGCCTAGGCGGGTTCAAGCGGGCACCCAAGGATATCTGTGTAGGCGCTGGGCGGTCCGCCTTGTGAAACTATGGATGTTTATCAACACTCCAACATGTACAATAAGACCAAACCACCCATGTACTATAATCAATTTGACCTACCTGGAAATATCATTGATTCATTAAGCAGTGACAATTTATTAGTTAATGACTTGCATTTGACTAAAGTTATCTTCTATGTAATGAGGTATTTACTCTGAAGAAGAATTGACAGCTCTAGGAATAGAGTGATGACGAGTGAAATGATAAGTTGTCTTTATATCGGTTGTGCCTGTACCATGAGATTTGGTACTAACTGGACAACCTTGATGTTATCTGCATATAGTACTATCTTGAAGCAATGCATGGAGCAATATAATCTTGCCTCATATAATTAACGTAGCTCAATACTTGGTCTCTGTTGTAATCCGGAATTCTGTAGCTTTTCTGGCTTCTCTATGAAATTGTGTGAGAACCAAGGGACACAATATTGTGTGGTAGATCTCCTCTTATCCAGGCAACCGATACAATTTGTGTCAACATACTGGATCTACTTCATGATTATTTCCATGACATGTTTCAGGATGAACCAGGTGCAATCTTCACTTATGAGGACAGGACACTGCGTTTTTTCCCTCCTGCTCCAAGAGTTCCTCAAATACCTGGGCTGGGTTCTGGCGTTGCTGGATCAGTGGAAGAGCATGAAGATTCATTTCAAGAATTGTCTAGTTCATCATGTCAAAGATTTAGTATTCTATGCAGTGGAGATAAAGATGGCAACATTTGCTTCAGCATATTTGGGCTTTTTCTAATAGGAAAGTTGGTAAGTTCACCTATATAATATTTTATTTGAAGGAACATTTCTATAGGATGTTTATTTATTATTACACTACTTTGTTAAACAATAATTGTGCATGTCTCTGGGTTGACATATACTTGAAGTATTATGGAAATAGTAGTTTTCAGAGAGGTTGATATCTGTAATTGAAATCCATAGATATATGGGATTTCCAATGTAATTCTATGTTGCTCTCTCCATGTTGTCAACTAGGAAATCTTGAAAAGATAGACTGCGCATTGAATGTGGCAATGTTATATGAGAAATCTGACTGTTGTATTTGTTGGATTCTAAATGTATCACATAATACATGGTTGCTAATGCACTTATGGCCTGTTTCGCAGGTGGGTGCAACTAATTTATGTTGGGGTTATTTGGTAGGAAATTGGAAGTCTTATACTTTGATAGATGTTGGGGGCTTCATGTGCATCCTTGTGACTTTGTTAGTGCTTGTTTCATGATTTCATCCGCTGTCTTTTTTTATTATGTAGTTATTCTTATCCAGATCGAAGTCAAATTTAACCATTGGAAATTTTGCTTATTGTGCAGATGTTTTCATTTTGATTATGTTTGCGGTCTGGCTTTTATGCACTTTTATTTCCCATTGATCTTTGGCTTACTCGGGTTATATGCATTCAGAGTGTGCGGGAACTATCTGTTCGCATGTTTTCTCAAGTCAATGGGACCACATATCGACTCTTGAATGCTTCTGTATACAAGGTAGAATCTTATTAATATCCTTTCATATTTATGTTTAATTTAGTGTAAATATATGTTAATATATATGAGCTGTTTTGTTTCTTATTTTAGTTTCTTTCTAATTCCACTTTGGTGCTTGTCCTTCATCATTGACTTCACAAATGTCGTTCTTTTTCTGCTTAATATAAATGGTGGATATGGCATGAGGAATCATGTAGTCATGTTTTTGTGTTTGTGGAGTTATTTAGTATTTTCAACCATTTGGATTACTGCTCTTAGCCCTTTGCATAAAGGAATCTTCAAGTAGAACTTTGTGACAATGTTATCATATTTGCTTCAGAGTCTGTTTTGGCCACGAAAGGGAAGTGCTTCGGCTGTTTTTCCTATCCAGGGGAAGATTTTGTGTGTATTTTTAATAATAAAAAAATGAAAAATTACGTCTAAAGGAGGCAATTTATTGAAAAACTTAAATGGAGTAATATTTTCCAAATTGTGACCATTTAGGCATATTTCAATATTTTAAACTGTTTCTGCAAATCCTAAGCATACTTTCAATATATTTTTTTTTTTCATATTATTGAAATTTCAGGCCTGGATTTGCTTTGCTTTGCTTCGGTTTAGGGGTAGAAGCCAAAGTCTTAGGCCAAAGCAAAGCAAAAATTTGACAGCATTGATATGCTTCACTGGCCAAGGGTAGAGTAGCAATTGTTGTAGAAGGCAAAAAGCATTTATTAACTTTTGTGGGTTATGACATCACACATGGCACATTTAACTCTTGTCTCTTTTCTTCATCGTCTTCATTTTTCCTGTGACTGATGAGTTCCATTAGTTGAAAATCTTTCTACCAATGGCTTTGGGCATTATGTATCCAAAAACATTAAGTCGGTTGATGAACTTCATCTTACCGAGGGTATTGTAACTTAACCATATAAATTTTGTATATTGTTAGGTTTGCAAATGATAGTTTCTGGTTGACTGCCATTAGGTTGTTCAGTTACTTATGCATTTACATAGAATACTTGGGTAAAATATTCTCGTATCAAATAAGAAATGACAAGATTAATTATAACGACAGAGACAAGAATATTTTGAGGGACATATTCATCCCAGTGCTCCCCATCAAGCTGGCTCATGGATTTCTATCATGTGCAGCTTGTTGAAAATATCCTTAACTCCAACATATCTGTCACTTGGAATTTTTGCCAATAACTATGACCTAAGTCCTAGAGGGGTGTTATCCCTTTTAATTGTGCTTCCAATGATCCTAATATTGCATGGGTTGCACATAGTTATGTGAAGAATCTTGAAGTGAAGAATCTTGAAGTGTAGTGCACTTGTATGTAATCTTACCATATGTTGACTCAGCTTTAATATTTGCTCTTTCATATGATTTGGTACATGGACTACATAAATAATTAGATATTTTAAAATCATATTTTTGGTGAAAAAAAGAAAGCTGGCAAAGCCAATGGGTTGAATCAATGTTTTTTTCTTTTTATTTACTCCCCAAGTTCTTATTAAATTTCACAATTGATGAGGCACATGGGCATAAAGAGATCTATCTAAAAAGCTAGGAGTTTTTGTTGTTTTATGGGGTTAAGTTATTCTTGGCATGGGAAGGATCTCGTTTACTTGTCTGCTCAAAGCAGTGGATTATATTTCTCTCTTTTAAAGATTTTTGGTGCTGGGAAATTGATGGGATTGAATTGACTATCCAACTAGGTGGCTTTCTCAAAGAATCTGCACCAATTGATTGTGCTATGCTTTGGAGAGTTGATTGGTAATGTAGCAGGGCAGAATGATGAACCTTTCTACCCAGAAAAGCATGATGCACCACCTGGATTGCATTGTTTGCTTGTTGACACTTCTATATTTCGAAATAGGTGAGCACCTCTTTGCTTAGGGCTTTAATTTTTGGTTGCAGATCCATGTTCTCCTGTGTTTGCTTTTTCTTTTCTTAAAATTTCAGCACTTTTTGACTTGTATGAAGTTGTTCTCACACATAACTAGTTTTATATTCTTCGTGATTTGTTACCATTCCTTTCGGTATGGCATTTTGGATCTGTAGTTTCAGCTCTAGAGATTTGTTGTCTACCTTATTTTTTTTCTTCTCCAATTTATATTTGAGATAACTACATAATTCTGTGGTAAAGCCAAATTGTGATTCAAAGTGGCTTATCAATGTGCGAGGAAGTAAACCTTTTAATGAGAGTTAGATAACAATCCCATATATGAATGATGTAAATACCCTTGTAAAACAACATGACACATATACTCCTAAATAACCAAAGAATACACGGATCAAGATACACAAAACAATAAGTGCATCTAATCTCTCAACTATGTTTTCTATTTCTTACTAATGTGTGCTAGAGAAGCAAACAAGGTGCATTCACTTGTGTGAGAAGGTGTTGGGGAGAAGTCTTTTTCCATGGGGGAACTGTTTGATCATTGAAGTGCATTTTCCAGGTTAGGTGCCACTTCGTGTTTTCCCTTGATGTTCCTTGCTTTCCCATTGTTACTCAACAGCAAGAAAGGAGGATCTGAGATCTCTACATGTTTTGTTCATGGCGAGGATTTCTTTTGCATAATTCTTCGTGATTGAAGCAAATGATTTGGGTGCCCTGTTGTAACATATCTATATGATAATCTTCGATTGATTTGCACTACACATTAAAGCTTTTGTATTGGCTTTAAGTATTTTACATTCATGGTACAGCAAATAGCATGAATTAATGGTTGAAGCTGACTGAATGATTTAATGGTTGAAACTGACCGAATGAATTTACTCAACAAGGCTTTGATATGCCGTGTGGGATTTTTGGTATAGTATTTTTATATTTGGCCTTTATTTTGTCCTTTTGGGTTGAAAATTTTGCAACTTGTCGTGTTCTTAACTCTCTTAATGATTTAAGTTCGGTGTGCTAGGTTTATAATAAATAAGATGCAGTGTTTAATGCCTGATTAAAAAATAATGTGGCTCTAAATGATTGCTATTACAGTTTCAGATGATGTCTTTGTTGATGCTGTTAATTCTGGATGCATTAACCTCAAAGGATGAAAAAATTTAAGTTATTATTCTACTTGCAACCTCACTCACGACTCTTTGGCACATTTGCTTACAGGAAAAATGAGCTCCATCAAGTTGCCCAACAAGCTTCAAACATTGAGGAATTGATTGAGGTTGTTCGGGCTTCGCTTTCAGTAATGCATAAACAATGGTCTGATGCCATGCATGCATTTCATGAGAAGTTCCGTGCTCTCTCTTCACTAATTATTGATCATGGTAGCTACTGATAACTTTGTTTATATTAGGAGATAGCCCTCTTTTCTTCTATAACATTTGTGATATAATGTTAAGGTTATTATTTTTATTTTTCTCTCCTCAGACTAATGGTCATTGTTTTCTGCAGGACTAAACTCTGCTTCTCAAGAAGAGTTGCTTAGCCTTTTATTTGGTGCTCGAACAAACCCTGCTGTTCATCAATTTCTGGTTACCTCTCTTGGTGAAGTGGTATTTTTTTCCTGTAATATTGTCCATTCAAAACTATTTTCACTACCTTACTGTTGTTGTGGTATTGACTTTCTATTTTTACAGGGACTGAAACGGTTGGGTAAGGTTGTTGATAGTGCTGGCAAGGAGCTGCATATTGTAGTTCGTGAGCATCTCTTGGTGTGATACATCTCTTGCTTTGTATATTATTTATTGGTTTCGAGATCTTCTCCAAGCACATAATTGAGATGTTGCACTTAATGTTTTCTCTGCCTTTTAGATGAAATTCTAACACCTTGGCCAATACTATTATGGTTAAATGAGTAATGGCTATAGGTTCACCTCATTATCTTTGTGTCGAGTGATGATGATAGGCATTTAATTTTCGTCAGTGATGCGTCACATCTTGGATTGAATCAAATGTTCCATAGTCTTAATTTTAGCGCAACTATTGACCTGAAATAGGTTTTTTGCTTAGTATGGTTGGGAATAAGCAGATTGTAGTTGTGTTGTGGACTCCATCATTTTGAATTCAATATGCCTTTTCCCTGCTTTTCTGTATCTTGGTTTTGAGCATGATTTAGAAAATATGCATTGGCAAATTTCAATATGATGGGGATTGCCTTATTGGGACTGTGATTCTTGTCGATGCGAATCTGAGAATGATGAGAATTACCTTATCGGGACTGTGATTCTTGTTGACGCCAAATTATTTGAGTATGATTATTTTTTGCTCTGAGTTCTATCCTATATATTGGATATACAGCTTGGGGTCCTGAGGTGGTGGAGTTCTATGTTTTCTTTGTCCTTTACTGATTTGTAAATTGTAAATTTCATTTATTGATGGAGAAAAAGATGTTTTATGTTGATGCATTATGGAATCTTGCCCCACCTATCTATTCCTTGTCTCTCTATAGTTATCTTAGGGGTGGAAAGGACTTCAGTTTGAGGACGGTTGCAGATTTTAATGTCATGTTTACAAATATTTCACCATGTTTCAGGTTGCGTAGTGATTAATTTATTGCTTGAATATCAGTGCACCATTAGTTTTTAGAAACTTGTGGCGCGAAGAATATGTTAGAAGGTAAATAAATATCACTGAAAGTATTATACTCCCACAGGAGTAAAATGTGCATTTGCTCCCTCGGGCAAAACTGTAACTATGAGAGTTTTAAGGACTCCAAATTTTGGGGATGGAAACTGCTCAACCTAGTGACCAACCAAAAAAAAAAATTCAATATATAACCTGGAACTGCTTGAAAAAAATCACGCCCTAGGATTGCACATAGATTATTCAAATTTTGGACATGTAGATCCAGGTATTTAGGTATTCAACATTCATCTTTTTCCTTTTTAGAATATAAACATCTACTGATTTTAAAGTGGATTCCAAAACTTCAGATCAACAAAAATCCTCCTAAGTAGGTCATTTGCTAAGGGAGTAGATGTAAATTATGCTCCTGCGGGAGCATAGCATACATGCAATAAATACAAAATGCCTTCTTAACATCTTCTAATGGATATCGAAGGAGTTTATGTAAGGTATAGTTGGATGTTTTCTGTGTTTTGAGGCTTAAATTTCTGTGATCAGTGCCATGAGATCCGTGATGAAGTCAACACTTGATAAAAAATGCATTCAGTGGTTCTCTAGCTCCCTTGGTTCCTGCACTCTCAAGTATCATGTTGGTCATGAATCACGATTGCAAGTGTATAGCGCTTTAGGGATATGTGTATTAGTATCTGACATGGATACACATCTGTAACACCAACTCAAAATTGTTTTTTCCGGCAACACATCTGTATATCATTTAAAGGGAGTCGGGATTTGAGAGTTTAAGAGAAACTGCGTACTTTAGTTATTTAATATTATTTCGAAAGAAATGCAGGAAGCATAGGTGCCTATGTCTCTAAAGTGTCAAGCATGCATGTGATTCTTGGGATGTCAACAGGAGCCTGGAACCATGGACATGATTGTCCAAGTTACATTCAAAGCGTAGTAAATTACTTAATTTTTAATAAATGGAAAGAATACTATAATTTTTTGATTCATTATATAAACAATTACAAATGCTCCAGATGATGGCATCATATAAGTATAATGTACATATCACTATCAATAATACAATTGTGGGTCATCCCATAAATCTAAATTTTAGATGGCTGAAGCTTCTTTCTGATGATTTTTTATTTATGATGTGTCTTTTAATGGGATAGAAGGGGGTGCATCAAATGAGGAAAAAGATGGTTCTTTCTTGTTCTATTCTGTTTATTGTTGATGGCTTAGTGAGTATATGTAAATATGCTTTCTGATACTTGTAATATTGCTTGCTATTGTTCCATTTTTAAGTTTTACGTAGCATTGGGATTTGTTTGTTTAGGCTTCAGAATGTTATTCAAGTTAATATATCTCGTCTGCCAATTCTCTGTTGTGATCAATTCTACCTAATATGATAATCAATGTAGCCAGTTCTATTTTGCAATTTTGAAATTGCATAGTTTTTGGTTTATAAATGTTTGTGCCGGTTTGTTAAATCTGGAGTATAGTTTTAGGAAAGGTTACATTGATGAAAGATGCTTTTTTCCCTTTTGTTTTGGCAGCCTGCAGCTGAAATGATTGGATTTAGGATTGGAGAGTTAAAGGGGCTTTCAAGATGGCCTGCACGTTTTCAGATAATTGGACTTGATGAGAAACTTATTGATCGGGCTACAGAAAATGCAGGAATGTTCCTTGTACAGGTTGAACGGCTCCTGAGGATCCTTTCTGTCTCATTATATCAGGTTTTGTATATTTTACTTCCTTTCTTATGGTTTCCCTCCTGTTTCTTTTATGGGTTGTTTGGCTTTGAAATTCTAGTTTCACTTCTTAAAAGAAATTATCTGTCTTTTTCTGTGTTGTTTAGTAGTCGTTTCATGCCACAATCTGATTGTTGAATCATGATAACTTTGCTGTTTGTGCGGTTGTTATGTAATGTTACGTCGTATTCTTGGTCACCGTCTCTTTTCTTTGAAACCTTTTCCATTTTCGTTTATTTCTATTTTCGTTTATTTCTTTCCGGGCCATATTATTTTCTTCAGTGTGCAATATAATTGAAGTTAAAATGCAATTGGCCGTATTATTTTCTTCAGTTTGGCCATACTATTTTCTTCAGTTTGCAATATAATTGAAGTTAGAATGCAATTTCTGCTTCTTGTATTGTGCTATGTGCTATTTCAGTTCTCTTCTTTTGTTTTTGTCATTATTTGAATGCTTCCTTTTGCCTTATTGTTTTGTATCTTATCATTTCAACCAATTATGTATTCAATTGCAATCATACTGTTTATCTCTGTCTTTGTTGTGGCTGACCCACCACATATTTTCTGTCCTCCAGTTCCAAAATTTTTTTACCTGGCTTACAAAATCTATAAAGCTTTTAATGTCAGAACCAAGTGATCAGCTTCCTCAGTTTAATAGGTTAGACCTTCTCTTATCAGATTATGTCTTGGCCTTCATTTACTTTGTCACTTGTATGTACTTTCTCTTTCACGGTGTTTCGTTCGCTTATTCTGTTCCATGTACTTATGTCGTACTCACTTCTTTACCTTTTTGTGATAACAGTGAACTTGTAATAGTATTCTTGAGGACCCTTTTCAATCATGACCCTTTAGGAAAGCACTTGGAGCTCTCCAGTGAAAAGCACACAATTGAACTTGATTCGTATGTATTTGCCTCAACTGAAAGGCTGTGATCTGTGCTGCTTGGCTTCTAATTCATCTCTTTACTTATTTTTAATTTTTGTTGTAAGTGGTATGGGAATTCTTTTTTTCATTTCTCAGCTTTTACCAAATCATGTAAGTTTTCATGGATAGGGTTCATATTACATAATGTGCAACTTTGAACTACTTTACTTTCCTTCTCATCCTTGGGTTTGACCGTTTGACGTACGTAACTGTAGGAATTGCCTCACACGTCACGAACAGAAAATCTTGGAATTTGTGTTTATAATTGAAAGAAGATGATGGATTTTCATCTTAGAGACGAGGAAATGCTGTAACTGCATAGATACATCTAACTCCTTGTAGAATATCTGAGGAAACTTGTAATAGTATCAGGTGTTAAGTTGATTTAGTTAGCTAAACTGAAATCATACTTGTTTTGTAGGGATACCATGCAAAGAATGGAAGAACTCTCAAGACTTGGGGGATTTTCAGATACCAAATTTTTACAAAGGACTTTAGCTGAGGAGTTTGATCAATTGCAAGTGAGGTATACTGTATTATTTTTAAGTGAACATACATATACGGTACTTATTAAGAAAAAAATATGTTGAAGCTATGTTAGCAAAAGTTTTATCAAACATTTTTTTTTGGGTTTGGCTTGCTTACTGCAATAGAGTAATCCTTCCCTCTGATTATCCCATGGGCCTATGCAGCTTGCCATCACGTCATAGTAATAATATTTTTAGCACACCTCTTACTGATGGTTTTCCTTTGTCAAATCAATGTTGTCTTTTAATTTTACTTTGCTTTATTGGAAAACCAAGTTTCCTTCGTTAAGCGTATGCCCTGATGCCTTTTTATTTTTTATTTTTATTTTATCTTTTGCTGTAATATATTCATAGTGCTGGATTTCATCTTCTATCGTGTTGCACTCTTAGTCTTGTGTATTCAGTTGTTTCCCTTATCGCTACTTTGCTTAGATCCCTACCTATTGCTGTCACATAGCACTTGCCACTGTGATTGCCTGTTTAATTCAAGAAGGGTGGCTACAAGGTGGGAGTTCTTGTACCATTTTGTTGTTTTTTCTTTTTTTTTTCTGTATTTCTTACTACTGGATATTATTCTTTTCTAAAATGTCTTTTTTCTTCATGCAAAAGGAGTTCAGGAAATTAAATCCGGCCTTCTTTCGATCTTAAACAAGCAAATATTCAACTATAATAGAGGAAAAAATATGGTTGTAAATCAAGCCATGGAGAGTAAGACACTATCTTTCTTTATTCATAAACAAATTATCTACAAAAATATTCTTTTCCCAGTCTCTCTACATAAGCTTTCCTTTTTATACAAGAAAATAAGACCTTAAAGAAAGAAAAAATACTAAACATAATTTTCTCTCTCCCCCACGTCTCTCTCCCCAAGTAATTCTCTCTCTAGATCATGCAAACCCAATAACTTCCATCCGATGAATGTAGGAGCCCCTTTTCCTCACGTTATCTACTTTGCTCCCGTGGACCCTTATCATATCCATCATCCCATAAAATATTTCTTTAAGTCTCTAACTCCCCTAGATCCTCTTTTATAGGAAAAATCTCTACTCCCACTAAATTAGGCTCTATGTGACTTTCCCATAGGATTAGGAAATCAACTAAATCAAGAAATTAAGCTCTACGTGACTTTCCCATAGGAATAAGAAACTAACTAAATCAAGAAGATCTCTCCTATTCCTAAAGAAAGGAAAATATTGTAAAATGACTACCCAGCCCATAATAATATATAAAAATCCTGATTTAACCCCTCACTACCAATCCCTCAAATTTAACCCAACAATCATAAAAATAAAAATATAATAGTAAAAAAAATAAATAATGTGATGTGATTTGTATCATATTCCTCAGGTTGGAAAAGAAACTCGTCTCAAGTTTTTGTTGCGGCATCATTGACCTCCCTTAACTTATGGTGACGTCCAACATCTTCACGCAAATGTTCTTTGTAAGGCATGAGATTGAACATTCTAAAGAATGAAGAAATTCTCCATCCACCTGGCCATTCCCAAGACAAACATTCAAATATATTCAAATACTGGTCCACAAAATATGCTCTTCGACTAATTGTATCGATCGATTGATTCCCTACAAAAGAAACATTTTTCTTTCAACCGGCTTTCTTCTTCTGAGGCTGCTTCTTTGTCTTGAACTCTTGTGAAAACCATGCCTTGAGTTTTAGGTCATCAATTTGCTTAGAAGTTTGCAACTCTTGTTGTAGATCTGACATGATCCTCGTCGTTTCATTGTATCCCATTCCCACGAGGCAGACATTACTATCAAGACATGCAACTTTCAAGGTAGTTGACATGGCTTTGCTAAAGCTTGTGTAGCCAACTATCACATCAATCGTCTTAAAAAGCTTGTTAAAGGGTGAATTCCATTGTGTAATTTCTAGAGGGGATTTTCCTTGCAATGATAGCGAAAAAGCACGTGACCATCTTTGGTTTTAGTAATTATTAAGCCAATGTTTTGTGGAGAATAATAACAATGAAAAACTGTATGAGTTTTTGTACTCCCCTTTGAAAGTTATCACCAATATCCTCCTTGCATTATCCAACCATACAACTGGCCTGTGTGCAAATACTTTGTCGATCAACACCAAGGGCTTCAAGCACACATCCAATAAACCCTTCCCATTCACAGTGCAAACCAAAAAGTAGATGCTTAAAATTCATAAGATTGTGCCTAAGCTGACAAGCTTCCCCCAGGAAAGTTTTAACACATCAAGAGAAATTTTCGAAACATGTGTGGCACATGGAGATGTTATCTCTACTGTAGCAAGATCATTGTCTCTTGCAATAATTTCCTCAATCTCTACATGAGCACCTTTCATGTTATTTCCTATAGGCATCAAGACTTTGATTGCAAAACCTGTCCCTTCACTTGTTGGGTCATATAAGATTTCTTCAGTTCCAACAAAGCTGACAAAGAGATGACTCATATCTTCTTGCGCACGTATAATAACTTCATTCGCCCTTTTAAGAAAACTCTCACATAGTTTAATAACTTCTTACATGAGCCAAATGCCATCAAATGGTTTTTTTCTTGGTAATTAACATCAAATCTAATTCTAGTGCATTGACCAAACATCAACATACTCTCAGCACAAATTATCATCCCCACATCTCTAGAACATCCCAAATTAGCAACATTAATAAGCAGATGCCACACAAAATGATTTTGTTGAAACCATACTTCAAAGATTTCACACTAATTATGAAATGGTTCCAATAAACGACCAAACCATCCAAATTTATTATAACCATTCCACATATCATGGTTAAGCTTTTTCAGAGCAGACAATCAATCACAACTCACCATGTTCGTACCAACACTCTCATCACCTCTACTAGACAACTCCAATGCGCACACATAATTTTTACCACCGGCACCAACGTTAACCACATCATCAACTACAATCTGGATATCATCAACTTTTTCCTTTATAAGTTGCAGAATAGAGAATTGAGCCATACCCTCCCCTTTAAAAGATTCAGGTGGAGTCTCATCACTTAATGACAACAAAGATAGTTTATGTCTGACCATCGAAAATTTGCTTTGATAAAAAACAACTATCTTGGTTTTCTCATCCAATCCCAAATCCCATTTCATTGTAGTCAGGGGTTGCTCTTTCATGTTCACAAGGAGGGAATCATTTGAAAATCCAACATTGTCTTCAACAGAAATAATGTTAGAAGTTAACATTTCCTTCTGATCAACATAATGCAGAATTTCTTCATTATCAGTTTTAAAATCCTCCATAGTTTCATCAATAAAACTACTAGGCATATCCCTAATTATCTCTTCTTTTTCAGAAGATTGATCTATAATTACATCTATTCTTTTCTCATTAGATTTAGGACCCTTTGTGTCTTTCAAAGCATCAACCTCTATAATGAAAAACTTAGGATTTTCATTTACCAAGAAATCACATGCCTTTTGTCTATTTACTTGTGTGATGCTTAGATGTTGTTGTAAGGACAACAACTCCCCAAGTTGAGGTGTCAATCTCCTAGCTTGGGATGATATGGCTCTAGGGGTCAATCTAGATGTAGAAAAATTCTTTCTTTGCACGTATCGACACTGATTTTGGTCTACTCCCCTATGCCAATGACAACGGCTTTGAGGTTGTCGGTTGCCCAACTGTTCTTTGCATTCATGCTAATGTCGATGCCATTGTGCATCGAACCCGATCAAGCATAACACCAGATCGTTCCCACTCAGACTTGTTTTATGATTTATGTCGATCTCCACTAGAACTCGCACAATATGGATTTAACACCGTAGATCTCATCTTGTTCGATGTGTGATGTTGCAATCTTTCTTTTTGCAACAATTTTTCCAACCATCTCCATCAAGTTATCGATTTTCTTGTATATTTGGTCATGTTCGGTATTCCTACGGTTGTGACCTCCACGACCATCCATCGTAGTCGCTAACCCTTTTTGAACCACGCTTGGATACCAAATGCAAAAGGAGTCCAGTAAATTAAATCCGGCCTTCTTTTGATCTTAAACAGGCAAAAATTTAACAATAATGAAGGGACAAATATAGCTGTAAATCAAGCTATGCAGAAGAAGACACTATCTTTCTTCATTCATAAACAAATTCTCTACAAAAATATTCTCGTCCCAGTCTCTTTACATAAGCTTTCCTTTTTATACAAGAAAATAAAACCCTAAAGAAGGAAAAAATACCAAACATAATTTTCTGTCTCCCCCTCACATGTCTCTTTCCCCCACGTCTCTCTCTCCCCAAGTTATTCTTTCTCTAGATCATGCAAACCCAATAACTTCCATCCGATGAATGTAGGAGCCCCTTTCCCTCATGTTATCTACTTTGCTCCCATGGAACCTTATCATATCCATCATCCCATAAAATATTTCTTTAAATCTTTAACTCCTTGAGATCCTCTTTTCTAGGAAAAATCTCTACTCCCACTAAATTAGGCTCTACGTGACTGTCCCATAGGCATAAAAAACTAACTAAATAAAAAAAGTAAAAAGCTGGGGTTAGTCCACTAGCTCATATGAACATATGAGCCCAACAATTTGGGCCGATCTGATGATCACGGATGTCCGGTAGTGTTTGAATTTTATGTTATTTTCTACAAATCCAAATCATTTGAAATATCACGGGTGTGTTCATCAAAAATAGGTGAATCTTCGAAAAATATCAAAAAAATATTTTACATGAAATAAGTAAACCAATATACCCCCGAAAAGTTTCAAGGGGTATTTTGATCATTTTATTTTTCGCTAATAATTTTTTTAATATTTTTATTAGGTGCTCCTTGATGAGAAGAACACACACCTAAAATTTCAAGTGATTTGAATTTGTAGAAAAAAATAAAATTAAAGCACTACTGGACATCCGTGATAGTCAGATCGGCCCAGATTCAATCTGGGCCGTTGGGCTCATATGTTCATATGAGCTAGTGGGCTAACCCTAGCTTTTTCCATCAAGAAATTAGTCTCTACATGACTGTCCCATAAGAATGGGAAACTAACTAAATCCCATAAGAATGGGAAACTAACTAAGTCAAGAAGATCTATCTTAATCCTAAAAGAAAGGAAATTATTGTAAAATGACTATCCACCCGTAATAATAAATAAACATCCTGTTTTAACCCCTCACACTACCAATCCCACAAATTTAACCCAACAATCATAAAAAAGAAAAAAAAAAAGAAAATAGAAAAGAAAAAAGAAAAGAAAAAAGAAAAGAAAAAAGAAAAAAAACAATGGGATGCGATTTGCATCATTTCTTCTTTTACCGTCATATGAATCTGTTCTATTGTTGTGTGATGTAACATATGTCTTATTTGATTCTTAAACAACCAATATATACGAAATCCTAAAATATAAAAACGCCCTTTGACAAATATTTCCACATCCTAGCCTTCCAAAATTATGGAACTACAATTCAAACCAAAAAACTTCAGAAGGAGCCCTTTCCACAGTCCTTTCTTCTATAGCTCTGATTCTATCTAACAAAAGGGTATCAGGTTTCAAATTCATTTTGGCTGCAGCCAATCACCTGCTCTTTTGCTACTAAAACCTCCAATATCGTTCTCCCATCTATATTCCTTCTTCTAGTAGGTTCCTTATCGACATCTGAGAAAATTGATTTCAACCTTTTCCTTGTATGTTCTCAAATTCTACTGAATACTCAAGCATGCTTCTCCTATATGTATTCCTCCTTATTTTAGGTTTCTTAGTGATACATGGTAAAATTGTTTTTAACTTTCTCCCTTTTGTTCTCAATTCTTTTCCCTACATTTAATTACCTGGCTGTAGTTCACATGGTCCCCAAATCTCAATATTGGTTCATTTAGAAAGTATCATCTCTCTCTCTCTCTCTCTCTCTCTCTCTTA